TAGTCAGACAGTTGAGCTGAAAATTAGCACATTTTTGTTACCAGCTGAGAACTGGGTGAATTCATAAAACTAATTAGTGCTAAATACTCAATTACAAAATAAACCATATCAGTACCAAGAGATGGCCGAGCATTTCCTTTTATGCATGCGTTTAATTTTACCGTAGAAGCAGCTGAAAATATGACGGTTCACTGTAAAAGGCAAATGTTTCCTTTCAGCCAGTGTTTATTGTTTSTACTGCACGCCGTTTGAAAGAACAATAAACCTGGCTGGCACATAAATCCATGAAAGTGGGTTAAACTGTTTTAGTCTAGAGTTACTGGAATTAACCAGGCTGAGGCAGAGGACTCACAGTCTTACACATTCTTCGGAGTGAGCGATGAAAATCAAAAGTTTACAGTTCAGTGGAGCCAGTGAAAAAGTAGTTTGGATTTGGTGCTGAAGGTATTTTCATGGCTCCAGGTAACAGAGCCAGAGGACATTAAACTTTATAAGTATTTATATGAAAAAAAAAAAGAAGATTTGCACACGAGTGACTGGAATGTCTCATATTCTCTGCTGTAACTCGCTGTATGCTCAGGTGGAGCTTTAAATCTGTCTGAATGGAAAATCTGGGGTTTTTGGGGGTGGGGGTTGAGGAGTTTCTAGTTCACATTATTCCATGCTTGTTTTATTTTTTATTTTTTGTCTCCTCTCAGGCCCGCTGTGCTCGACCCTGCTGTGTCTGTAGCCGGCGAGAGCGGGCCGGTGTCTGCACAACTGTGGATTGAAATGAACGCGATGGCGAAAGCCATAAAAGCGCTGTTTGTTCCCTTTGTTCCAACAGGACGAGGGGCTGAAACAAAGCAGGTTTTTATCAATGTCAAAGGTGCGATGAGTCATGACTAACACAGGAGGCAAACGGTTTTAAGACTCCCATCTGCCAGCCACGCTCCAGATCAGTCTGGTTCAGCAGGAAGATACTAATCGCACGGAAATTTGGTACAAAAAAGAAAAAGAAAGAAAAGGTTTTTAATCCACCTGACTTTTCCTGTTTTATTCATGGAACTGAATTAAAGCTGCAGGGTTTGTTTTATAAAAGATAAAATATGCTGCCTGTTTGAAAGAGAACATGAATGCCTGCAGGGCTTATAAAGAGTCTGAATAAAGATCTTGTTATGACTGTGGTTAGATGGCAGGAATTTCTGTGCACTTTGTGCGACCTCTTTTAATTTATCTTCCTCACCTGTGAGATTCTCTTCGTTTTGACTTAACGAACATTCCTTGTGAGTATGTCACATTCCCAGAGCTTTGGTTTAAGTTAGCCTAGTATTAATCAGCATCTTCTCTCCTGGTCCCCATTTCTAACAGGTAAAACAAAAAACTAATCAATATTTATCCAAATGGACTGATGTAAAACACTGTAATCGTGTGGCTGAATTAAACATAATACACTGCCTAACCAAAAAAAGTGTCCTTCTGTATTTAACTAAGTGCTGTGATCTGGGGTTGCTGCAGTTGTTCAGGTCAATGTTAGTAAAGAAAATACTACATTTAAAGGTTAAGATTAGCATTTATTAACATTACTGTTGCCGTTACATACTGCTTGGTTGAAATTTTTTTCAATTTTTCAATTCAAATAATTTGTTCATTTCATTAAAAAACAAAATAACTACCATATTAATTAGTGTATAATACGATCTCATGTATAATACGCCACCCCCCATTTTAAGCCTAAAAGGCATAAAAAATTTAATTCTCATACTACCTCTAATTTCATAAGGACTTCAGGATTTTTTCAGCCTTTGCAGTCTTCATATATATACACACTCACCGGCCACTTTATTAGGTACACCTGTCCAACTGCTCGTTAACACTTAATTTC